GGGGGGGGGGGGGGGGGGACGGAGGGAGGGAGGGAGGGCGGGCGGGCGGGCGGTGGGAGGGAGGGAGGGAGGGCGGGCAATGTGACAGGGATGGAGGGAGTGAGGCAGTATCTGACGAAGAGTGTACCTATGGAATTAGCAAGTCAGTAACAAAAACAGAAGTTGCTGGAAAAGCTCAGCAGGGCTGGCAGTGTCTGTGAAGGGAAAAAAACACGAGTTAACGTTTCGGGTTCAGTGACCCTTCCTCATCTTCACAGACGCTGCCAGACCTGCTGAGCTTTTCCAGCAACTTCTGTTTCTGTTCCTGATTTACAGCATCCGCGGCTCCTTCGGTTTTGATTTTAACAAGCCGGTACCTGAGGCCGTGGTCGGTGATCAGGAAGCAGCCAGACAAACTGAGGAAGCGCAGCGAGCGAGCATCGGGCTCTGCTCCGTCTCTCCAGCGTCCGGAGCCCGGGCCAGGCCACGGACCACGAGTCCGTACCATCTTGTTGCACTGAGGCTGTGGCAGCCGGTTAGTCCTGAGCTTGGTGCCAGCAGCGCACAGGCTATGTCCACAGGGTGCCCGGGCCTGTGGGCAGTAAGCGTCTCGGATACACCTGGCAGCAACGGAACCAGGCAGTGGCAATGTCTCTCGATGGGGTGCTCCTGCTGCTCGCTGGCTCCTGATCTTCAAGCCTCCAGCCTCCTCAATGTCCAGGAGATCCTCCTCCGGCAGCAGCCAGACCCGGCCTGCCTCATCCCCCTGGGTCCCCAGCTGCTCCTCCGGCAGGCACAAGTGGCAGCCGTGCGGGGCCCAGGTACACTCAGAGCGCCAGGCCTCTGGGCCCTCACCCTCCTCCTCCGCCAGCTCGCCCAGGGCTCGGGAAAGATGCTGCAGCGCCGCGTCCGTGATTCGCTCACAACCCGACAGGTCCAGGTGGCGGAGAGCTTGGTAACTTCCCATCCAGCACCTAGAGCCGAGGGCGCAGGGAAAGAGAAAGAGAGTGAGAGTGTGGAAGCGGGCTGGTGGGAGAGAGAGAGAGAGAGACACATAGAGAAAGAGAGAGGGGGGAACAGAGAGAGAGAGACTGGAAGTGCGGTGGTGGGAGAGAGAGAGAGACACACACAGAGACAGTGGGGGGCACAGAGAGGAGAGGGGGGACACATGAAATGTTGGAG